AATATGTCCGGGAGGCATATTTGTATGTAACGGACGCAGAATACAATCTATTAACGTTCGGAAATTGTCGAAGAGTAATTCGTATGTAGACGTATTCCAACTAAAACTAGTAACGCGTCTGTTACATACACAACGATTAAATCAAAAATCATGCCTTCAGATAACTAACCGATTAAAAAGAATAAGAAAGACACAAGGATGCTTAGTAAAATTTACTAATTTATTTACATCTCTTAGTAAATTATTTATGATGGTAGTGAGATCTTAAAAAACTTAATGGCCAATTTATTAATATTACTACTAACAAATTAATAAAAAACAGAAAAACCTTATTTTCGGAATTTATTATCACCAAGCCTTACGTTTTTTTCTACACAAATTTTTAACGAATGTGCTGCTTTTTTTCCCACTGTGTCTAAAAGATTTTCTTCCAGAAAAGATATTTTTTTCTCCCATTTTGCTTCCTGCTACTGACGTTGGTTGAATAGGAATTTTGCGGCGAGTTGCTATGGCAGAACTCCTATTTTTTGAAGAAATGCCTTTATATTTGAACGATAACCCTGCATATTTTACATGGCAACATCGCATTTTTTGTGATAAATCAATTTCTGTTCTCAGTTTAATTAATGATGTGTCTATCAATAATTATTACTTTGTACGAGTCTGATGAATTTTTAAATCATCGCTGCCCTTATGGCTAAACCTTTCACTATACGCTTTTAGATATAAATATACTTATCAACTGAAAAAATAATATAAATTACAGTTTAAAACCCAAGAAACACACCTTCAATACACGAAAAAATATAAAATAATCTCCATGCTCCTCAAAAAAACGTTACCAAAAAGAGTCCTCGTCAGGCTTTTATACATATCAGAGCGTTAAGCGCCCAAAAACATAACCTAGAAATTTTGTTAACATACCTCTACATCTTCTTTTGTTTTAATTCTTAATTTGTAGGTAGATTTATTAATTACCTTCCAATCATACAGCTTGGGAAACCAAATATCACTTATTTCATTCATATTATTGACAAATAGAGCAGTGCTTTGTTTTGCGCTATAATAATCAATCACGCGTATGTAGGAGATGTGTTAAGAGTTTTGGTTGTACTAAGTCTGTTACATACAAATTGCAGTTCGCCATTTCACGATTTTATGTTGCGTCTGCTACTTACAAATATGCGTCCGGGAGGGCATAGCAAAAAATTTATCTGATACGAATGGAATTCTGTCATTAATAGCAGAAACAAAAGACTTTGCAATATGTAAATTAATCATTTCAAAACAATTGGCAGCTTCTGGAATGACAGGAAAAAGTTTGCACCTCATTAGGGGTTGTATCGTTTCTGAGAATTGTGGTATCCATTTAGCACAGTGGTCGCCAACCTGTCGATCGCGAGCTACCGGTAGCTCGCGGAGGCAATTCTGGTAGCTCTCACAACGATTATAATTTAAAAAATACAAACTGCAAAAATCAGAGAAACTTCCGAAAATTCCATAAAAAAATCTAATTCTAATAATATTAAACATAAACAGCGGCAACGTTGCGGTGAGCGATCTGCCGCTGACGCCATCAAGCTAGAATCAGCTAGAACCGACCAGCCGGACCAGCGCGTTAGTGTTCGAGAACGATCAGGATTGCTTTGAACGGGATAAATACGCACGGCGCGGCGACATTGCGCTTAGTTTAAAACTGAACGCGTAACCAACGTCCAGCAGTTGGGTTAGTAGAGAACAACAAAAAATAATATTATGGTAAGCAGTTGTAAGAAGGTAAAGACATACCACTTTCATTCGGAATGGGAAGAACAATACTTTTTTACAGAAGTTAAAGATAAAAATGTGTGTTTGTTATGTAATCATTCGGTCTCCGTTGCTAAAAAAGGAAATATTGAGAAACATCATAAAACTGTACATTCTAATTTTGAAAAATCATTCCCACTACATTCTGCCGCCAGAAAGGAGAAACTGAAACAGTTAAAAAAGCAGTTAATTGGACAACAATCAATATTTTTAAGAACAGTCGACAAAAATAAGGCTGCAACTAAAGCATCGTACCGTGTGTCCCAGATAATTGCACAAAAAAAGAAACCTTATGAAGACGGGGAAATGATGAAACAGGCGTTTTTAGAAGCTGCTGATTCGTTATTTGCCAACTTTAGAAATAAAGACGAGATAGTTTCAGCTATAAAATCTATGCAACTTTCTGCTAATACAGTGATGAGACGTGTAGAAGTAATGAGCAATGATATTTTTTTACAGTTAAGAACTGACTTAGATAACTGTGTTTATTTTTCACTTCAACTGGATGAATCAACAGATGTCGTTGACACTGCCCAGATGGTCGTGTTCGTCAGGATGGTTTTTAGTGATTTTACGATTAAAGAAGATCTTTTGAAGTTTATTCCATTGAAAGGACACACTACTGGACAGGAGTTGTTTTCTCATTTAAAAAATATTATTTCTTCCAAGAAAATTCCAATATCTAAAATGGTAGGCTTGACAACCGATTGCGCTCCAGCTATGGTGGGTTGTGATAAGGGTCTGGTGGCGTTATGTCGTAATTTCTCTGTTACCACTGCATTATCCATCAGCAAGCATTATGTGGAAATTTCCTGAAACTAAACAACGTTATGAAACTGGTGGTAAAAATTGTGAACAAGATTAGAGCTCAAGCGTTACAAAGAAGATTATTCAAAACCTTGGCCGATGAAGTTGACTGTCAATACGGACCTACTCCTTCACGCTGAAGTCCGATGGTTAAGTAGAGGACGGGTGCTGAAACGTTTTAATGATGTCCTATCTGGCATAGTTCAATTTTTCAAACAACGCGATGAACCGACTCCGGAACTAGAAAATTCAATCTGGCTTAAAGATTTTGGTTTTCTCGTGGACATTACAGAGAAATTAAACGAACTTAATTTGCAGCTTCAGGGGAGAGACAAAGAACTAGCGGAAATGATTTCTGATATAAAAGCATTTATCAAAAAGCTGGAGTTTTGGGAACAAAACCTAATTAACAGCGATGCCAAGCATTTTCCTATTCTTTCAGAAAAAATATCTCAAAATCCATTAGAACCCTATGACAGCAAATATCATTTAGAAATAGTTTCTACCCTGAAGAATAACTTCAAAAATTGTTTTAAGGATTTCAACGAAATGGCTTTAGTAGCGCAGTTTGTTGTTTCACCCATTATGGAAATTGATATCCAACAGTTTGCAACTTGTGTTATGCAGAACTTTGGCGAAGACATCGCTGCAACAGAAATGGAAGTAATTGAGTTTCAAAATGATTTAGCCTTAAAATCGTTACTCTCAAGTACCAAATGTATCTGGCCTATTGTAAGTAAAGACAAATATTCAGTTCTATCCCGTGTTGCCTTGAAAGTGAAAGCATTATTCAGTTCAACCTATTTGTGTGAATCTTCTTTTTCCAATATGAAGTTTATTAAGAACAAATATCGCAATCGACTTACAGATGAACATTTGGATAATAATAAAAAAATTATCGATGAGTCTGAGTGTCAGCCTTTTCATTGAACGTGCTTTTTTATTTTTCAATGTTTATGTTCATGATAGTGCGTTACCTTTTTGTTGTTATTATTAACTATTTTTAAATCTTACGTGATATGCCGTTGTGGCTGGATAAAAGTTTGTGTTTATTTTTCAAACACCTTCGTTTGGTAGGTAGAAACGTAGCTATGAACAAGTACGTACTAGTAATATTAGTTATTTTGTTATTAGTGTATTATTAGTACTTATGTATTATGTATTACCAGTTAAATAGTAAAATAAATACATATAATGATAAATTAACTGTGGATTATTTCATTTACGTTGCGTTACGTGGCTTCCGTGTGGGTAGCTCGCTGTTTATTCCAAAATTAACAAAGTAGCTCAACACATTGAGATGTTAGCGACCACTGATTTAGCATAATGTGTTCGCCGAAGAGATGTTTGATTTGTTGGAAGATAGAGTTCAAATAGTGGTTGAAGACGATCAGGGTTTGGTTTTATGATATTATTCACTATTGTGTATCCCAGAAGATTAATAGAATTTAAGGAAAATTTTGATTTCTCGTCATTTAAAGTTAACTGGTACTTCTTAGCAACATCTAAAAATCTACTAAGATTTAACTCACGCTCCTCTTGAGTTTTTCCACACCCTGTCACATCGTCTAAGTAAGCATATGTACCTTGAAGCTGTTCCTTTTGAATTATGGAATTGATAACCCTTTGGAAAGCAGTCTTCCTTTCTAATCGGGATTTGATGGTAGGCACTTTTGAGATCTATGGTGCTAAATATGTTAGACTTTGAGACTTTACCTATTATATCTTCTACGTAAGGAACAGGATAAGCATCCAATTCTGAAAACCGATTGATCGTCTGAGCATAGTAGTTAATGACCATTATTTTTGTGATTAGTATTTTTGGTCACAATTTCTTGAGCACGCCAAGGTGAATTGCTTTCTTCAATTATGCCTTCAGAAAGCAATTTTGTTACTTCTGATCTGATAAATTCTTCATCTTCTAAGGAATTTCTGCATGACTTTATGGCAATAGGTATGCAATCGGCGGTAACGTTTACAAATAGCTGAGCTGCAGGAACATTTGCTTTAACAAGACTGCATATTTTTCGATTCACCAAATGATACTTCTACCCTTTCATGATTTTTGAGTAAGTCGTAGCCAATTATGACATCTGCTCACAGATCTTTAATTGTTAATAGTTTAACATCTTTCTAGGTATTATCTTACATCTCTAATAAAACACTACAAGAACCTTCAACTTGTGAAATAAAGGCTAATGAAGCCATGTTTATCGTTTCATTAGACGGCAATATTTGAATTTGACAACGTCTGACAAGCTGTAGATTAATAAAGCTACTGCTACTACCTGTATCTATAAGACACTTTGCTGGTAAATTGTTTACTAATAAGAATAATCTTAGAATAGTATGTCTTCCCACATATTATTATCTTGATTGGTAAATAATTATTGTCAAGTTGACACATTTCAAACGTCTATATGACAAACAATATATTTTTATACTATGTCAAAGGAAGTTAAAATAGAAATATGAGCACAGAAGACATCTGGAATTCTCCGAAATTTAGAGAAAGTGTTGTCAGAAAAATCAACCGAGAACTCTTCACTTTAATACAAAAAGTAAACCTAAATGGTCAAGAAATCGAACAAATAATATACGACAGAGTAAAATCTAAAGAGGAATATTTGGGAGCCATCGCTAAAATCATCACGTTCATAAGAACCAAGACGAAAACGAAAAATGAAGATATTAAGGCGCAAATCATGGTAAAATTGTCAACATTAAAGATACCAAAATTGGTAAAGGTAATTCCCATATCTGAGTTAGAAGAGCTGGAGAAGATAAAAATGGAACAAAACACGCATACAGTTATCGCAGATATTATAGAAGAAGACAACTAAATATTAATGAAATTTTTGTCTATATACTATAATTTTTAGAGATATTTATTACTAAATTAAATAAAAAAAAGTTGCTAATAAATTAAAGGCAAGTCTTTTCACCTCTGAGTAAAGTTGACAGTAATTACTTGCTGATTAAACTATATGGCTATTGTTTGTTAATTTGTCAAGTAAACTTTCATATAACTTTACTCAGAGGTGAAAAGATCAGCCCTTTTGAATAAAGCCTTATATTTTCGGGTTAAACCTCAATTCTACTACAATTTATTCAACTAAATTAAAATATGAAAAGGTATATACGTCCTGAGAGGTTTGATATCGATTCGGTATCAAACACTGACTCCGCCACAACTTCTAAATGGAAGACAACTTTCAAAAATTTCCGTAAAGCCTCGTCAACTGGCTCAACTGGGGAAAACCAGCAACCTGAACCTCTGCCAGATGCAACTAAGTATCAACTCCTGGTAAATCACCTTTCTGCAACTGTTTTTAATCATATAAAAGACGCTGAGACATATGATTCAGCTATTTCGAGACTAGACGTTATTTTTGTAAAACCAAAGAATGAAACGTATGCACGCCATCAACTGGTCAAGTGTGGTGAAACGATTGACCAATTTAAACAATCATTAAAACTTCTGGCCAAGGAATGTGGGTTCAAAGCAGCATCTGCCAAACAAAATGAACAAGACTTTATAAAAGGCATTTATTGCTGGTTTATCATCGCGCTTCATACGGCAGAGGCTTCTAGAAAGCAGTTCCCTCCAACTTGATGAAGCGCACCAACAAGCCAGAGCACTAGAGTTTGCAGGAGTTCACAACAGCGCCTTCGCAAGTGAATCAAACGCTTTTCCTTTGAAGAATTTAAATGCATTGCCATCTACATCGAAAGATTCTTGCTACTTTTGCGGTAACAATCTGCACGTACGCCTTTAATACAATGTCTATCCTGCGGCAAGAAAGGCCACTTCGCAAAAGTCTGTCGAAATAAACCTACCGTATTCGCAAGGAGAACAACCTGAAAGTGAACTCGGAACATTGTCATGTATACTTTTTGCTGCTTCGGGTTTTAGGAGAAGCTATTGTACCAATTTTCATCAATAGACATGCTGCGAAAGCTTTGGTTGATACGGGAAGTACATGTAGCTTCATAGAAAACCGCCTTGTTCAACAATACCGCCTTTACATGAAGCTCTCTCAACAAGGTTACATCATTTTTAAAATTAAAGGTTGTTGGAATTTGTAGATTTAATATAAAATTATTACAAAACAGTTATCAAGCCGATTTGTGGGTACTGAATGGTTTATGTGCAGATTTTATCATAGGGCATGATATTCTCATATACGTCTCTTCCTGACTTACAAAACAAAAAAAAACAAACAAAAAACAAACAAAAAACAAAAAAAAAACAAAAAAAAACAAATAAAAAACAAAAAAAGGTCTTCCAACCCATACCAAAATCATAATACATTGAACCTCAAAACTTATTCTCCTATCTGACTCCTGATTGCAAACCCATTGCCAACAAGACTCGAAGACACTCACCAAAGGATTCAACTTTTATTAAAGCAGAACTTTCATAGTTACTTAAAGACAAAATAATCAAGTATTAGTTACAACGAACGTCATAAAAAACGTGTGTGTATCGACTACTCCCAAACTATAAATGCATTTCCACTACCTGCTATGGAAGATGTGGTTGCAGAGATAGCTAAGTATAAATCATTTAGTAAGATAGACCTTAAAGTGCATATCATCAAATCCCCATAGTTGAGAACGATAAACCTTATACTGCATTCGAAGCATCTGGGAATCTTTACCAATTTCGTCGAATTCCGTTTGGAGTAACCAACGGCGTTGCTTGTTTCCAGCGTGCTATTCGCTCAATTATTCAGAAAGAACGTCTCAAAGGTGTTGTAGCATATTTGGATGACATCACCGTATGTGGAAAAGATGAAGAGGTTCACGAAAGAAAGTTATCTGCCTTCTTCGATGTTGCCAATAAATACAAACTTACTCTTAATAAAGAAAAGAGTATTTTTTGTATAAAAGAAATACATTTACTAGACTATCACATATCCAACGGCACAATCAAACCCGGTCCTGACCCGCTTGAAATCTTTACTAGAACTACGAAAGACTAGCGAAAGACTCAAGTACTTTCAAAAGAGCTATTGGTATGTTTGCTCACTATGCGAAATATATAGTTAAGTTTTCAGAAAAAATACGACCCATAATACAGACACAAAAATTTCCACTTGTAGAATCCGTTATAGCATCATTTAATAATCCGAAACAAGATATTGCTAGGGCTGCAGTCAACTCGATTGATCCTAACATTTTATTTACCGTTGAAACAGATGCCTCGGAACATACCATAGCAGCGTCTTTATCACAAGATGGACGTCCGGTAGCATTTTTCGCAAGGTCTTTATCTGCGTCTGAGAAAGGTCATTTCATTATAGAAAAGGAAGTATACGCGATAGTTGAGATTCTACGTAGATGGAGGGATTTTCTGATTGCCAAGATCTATAAACCGATCAAAGAGACATGCATCTAAAATCAAAAATGAGAAAATCCTGAGGTGGCGTTTAGAACTGTCATATGTGTCTGATACACTCTCCAGAGTAGTGGCTGTGGTTACCGGTGGAACTGAAAATTTGATCCAGTTTCATGAAAGGCTTTGTCATCCTGGTGTCACGCGCCTTGCTCACTGGGTGCGTTCTAAAAATATGTCGTACTCTATAGACGATATTAAGAAAATTACCTCATCCTGTCAAGTGTGTCAAGAACTGAAACCAAAATTTGAAACTTCAATCGTTATCTATTGACTATAGTAGATGAATGTTCAAGATTTCCCTTTGCATAACCTTACCCAGATTTAATCTCAAAAGCAGTCATCAATTATTGTTTGGTTGATATTTTCTCTGTTTTCGGTTTACCCAGCTATGTCCACTCCGACCGAGGGGCCTCTTTCTTATCAAGCGAAGTCCAGCAATTTTTAAAGAAGAGAGGAGTGGCTACGAGCTTTACAACACCATATAATCCAAAAGGCAACGGGCAAACAGAAAGATACAATGTAATCATATTCAAGAATGTTCAATTGGCCTTAAGAACGAGGAATTGGGACTGGAAATTTTGGAAACTTGTACTGAAGCAAGTTTTACATTCTATCAGGTCGCTATTATGCACGGCAATAAACGAGACCCCGCATGAAAGGATGTTTGCACACCCCAGAAGATCTGCGAATGGCCAGTCAGTACCATCATGGCTTCAACCTGGCCCCATATTAGTAAAATGTCTCGTCCGACAAAGTAAATATGAGGCTGAACTTCTTCAACCCAATCCGCTTTACTCACTGGTTCGCCTACAGAACGACAAAGAAGTTACCATTTCAAACGGACATCTAGCTCCAACACAACAGGAAGAGATAAATGTAAATAGTAGTAAAGGTAGTAGTAAAGATAATAGTAAAGGTAGTAGTAAAGATAATAGTAAAGGTAGTAGTAAAGGTAATAGTGAAGATAGTATTGTAGATTTGGAACCTCAAGTTCAAGTCGACAACCCTTTACCTGAAATGCCAACTATCCCGGAATCATCCAACCATCATTGCCAAACTTCCTAACAGTCTGGAGACCAATGCCAAGGACCCAGACCCAAGTACCTAGGCGGATTACTTTTAACATGGGAAGAATGCGGTGAATTATTATGTTTAAATGTTCAATTGTTTTATGTTATTGATTTATATGACACTGTCAATTTCGAGAGGTGGGCTCCTTTTACTCTTTCACTCCATAACTAGCTTCAGTCCATGCTAAATCATTCTAATTCAGTGATGTGGAGTTAGATCTAAAGTAAAAAGAGTATAAAAGGAGCCCACCTCTCGAACTCAACATTTGTTGAATAAAGCCTTATATTTTCAGGTTAAACCTACCTTATTACCTTATATAACTGAAAGATTTAAGAAAGTTAACTAATAAGTTAGACCTAGGCATTAAATCTGAGTATTTTAAACACGGTGCTGACAGACATTTTTAAGTTGTCCAGTTTGCTCAAAAATACAATCACTAACTAATGATTCTACAATAACTAAGGAACTTACAGTTCATCAAATTTCTAGAGGCTTTCGACGGCTAGACAGAGAAAGCACTACTGACAGGCATCCCGACGGATTTACGCAATGAAAGTACACTCTGCGCATCAAGTATTTCACTATTTCATTCAGACGTAAATGTCAGATGTAAATTTCGCTAAAACATTTCTTTTATTTTCGTTTGTGTTTTTTGCTCATTACAGTTTAATAGAACCTAAGTATGGAGTTTAATAGCAAATTAAGAGGCCGCGTGATTAACAGTCAATTTCGCGAAATAATAGCCAATGTTATAGAGTTTATGAGAAGAGAAGGAAACTTTAATTCACCATCAATACCATTTAAAAATGTAAATGATCGTGTTGCTGCAGCCACAGGAGTATCTAAAAACACTGTCGTCCGCATTTCTGGAGAGAAAAAAAGAATCGATAACCGTGAGATATCGGAATTTTCATCACCAAGAAAAACCATTAAAAAACCAAAAATAGTTAATGATATAGATGAAGCTGCACAAGAATCAAATTTTATTTTTTTATTATTAGATAGCTATTTTTGTTTCTGAGTTGTGTTCATTTACAGGCTCAATTTTTTTCCGTTTCTCCTTTTTGATTTTATATGGGGTTTCAAGTTGTTTTTGACTTATTTCGACGTAAATCACAACAACACACTTTTTTAATAAAGCAAACAAGTGTTAAGAGGTATATGTACGTGTAAACTACAATTACAAAAAATTGATATGAAACCCATGAAACCACCAACAAAAATGTAAAGCTAGCTTCCGTACTAGAACATGGTGTCATTCGTCGAGATAATTTATCGTTTTGTCTAATAGATCAAGAAATGTAAATATTCCCCTGTTATTTTTTATAAAATTATAAGAGAAATAAATTTTTTTCTAAATAGTATAGT